TAAAGAATTAACTGTCAAAAAGTACCAAAGTCGCTCATATTTCTTTTTCTTAAAAATCTTATTGGTTGATTTTTTTTGATTTTTTAAAAATGTTTCTTTCTTTATTTGTTTTAAATTTATTTACTGATATGTTTATTTGCGTATTTATTTACTTATTTGTTTATTTATTTATTTATTTAATTTTTGTTTCAGGTGTCAGATCCAGATAACCGGTATACATCCTTCGGAAAGAAAGAGACCGGCCCAGAGTCCAAATATGTTTACAAGAACAATGCTTACGATGAGACAGAGGGAGCCAAGCTCTGAGACCTGTGTGCCACCAACTTGTGTATATGTGTGTCTATGTGTGCTCGTAAATGTGTGTGAGTGAGAGAAAGAAAGAGAGAGAGTGTGTGTTTGTGTGTGTATGTGAACGTATGAGTGTATGATTTTGTTTGCAAAGTGGTATGTTTCGGATGTGTTGGATAAAATGTTAGACGGTAATACTTTTTTTTTAAGTGTGCTTGTTGGGATGTGTGTGTGTGAGAGAGAGATAGTGAGAGAGAAAGAAAGAGAAAGAAAGTGGAAGAGGAAGAGAGAAAAAACAATTTGATTATATTTTTATCAGAAATTACAAGATGCGTCACAGAATCTGAGGGAAAAAAACTTTGACCCCTCATTTTTTCTTAAAATTAAAATAGGACCTTTTATATTATAATGTCGTGGTCACCTCTAAATTTGGCTTTATGGAGAGTCAAGACCTTGAATGTGCATACAAGGTCAATTAAGTTCCAAATTGAGGGCTGAAGTTTACTTTTACTCACCGCGCATGTATACATTTGCAAGTGACAAGTTCAAATGTGTTGTCACAGCGCCAACTTGGCGCCATTTTGCACTTACTCCAGTATTGCAGTTTTGGTTGTGAATCACTTTGAAATCACTGAATTCCGCTCTTGAAAACTGGGGTGAGTACAAAATTATGTTGAAATTCTCACACACACACAGGTATTAACAGTCTACAGTAACAATATTGTGTCAAGACACGGTGGAATCAGGTGTACGTCAGTTTTGGGGCAAATGGAGTTATTGGTATTATCTTAAAACTTGTTCAATTGTCTCGTTTTTGATGAAAGACATACCGTCTATCTTAGAATAAAAATGGCCTTGAAAGTTTGGTGACTTCTATTATAGCTGTAGAATCCTTGAAAACAGAAATGTTACATTTTTTGTGCCTTTAATTAACTTTTTTTCAGTAAAACTTGCATAGAAATTTATTTTTTCAATGAACGTGTAAGGTGTTGAGACAAAACGAAAAAAAAAAACGTGCTTTAAAAATTGACAAACTGGCAGAATAATGCTGGGGGTTTTTTCGATTTCATTATTTTGACGAGCACCTGATTTCACTACAATGATTCAAAATTTTGGGCTCTGTTGAAGAATTTAAACAGTCTTTACAGTTGTGATGAAGACTCCCAGAAGTCGGAAATTGGAGTTGATACAAGATAGCCTTTATCTGGTGAAAGATAATAAATTATAATACAAAGAAAGGCTGTGTGTGTACAGTGTGGTATTTAGCCAGAACAGTGTACGCACGTTCTAATAACCAGGCTTCTGCTTCGTTATTCCTTCAGAGTTACATGGTCTGTAATTTACGCCGATGATTTGTGTGTCTGCGCCGATATGGTTTGACTGGAAAATGATATGTATATACATGAATTCAAATATTATAAACAATGAGTATATGACTGTCGATTTTTGTGCTATTTACCTGAATTCAAATGTACTTTATGTATAACAGTCAATTTTTTGTTCCTATTTACCTGGGCTCACACAAATTCATAATATACTTTGTTGGGCCAGCCAGCGTTATTCCAATTTGTCATTTCCGTAGCCCTGGGACATGTATGTGGTGTAGCAATTAGGCACTTGGCTGTTGCCCACAGACCATGCGAGTTCGATTCCGAATGGGGAGAATTTTTATGGAGTATCTCCATCTGGGTGATTTTACCCCTCTAAGCCTAGGTTGGCCCTGACAGACAAGGTCCTAGCAGTCTGCGTCATTAATGATCCAAATTGTATCGATGGGGGCCTAAAACATCTGCTCCACCAATTTGTATAGGAACGCAACATTATAGCCTGTTATGCTATCATTCTCATAATTTGACCGTAAACACCTTTAGCATCAAGTTGGACTACGGAGTGGATGACCCTAGTTCAAATTCTAAAACTTGGGTCATTTTGTGGAGTCTTCAGAGGCCCCCAATCCATTTGACACAGCCCTGTCGAAGATGGACTTTAAATATATAAGTCCCACGCTTTGATAACCTTACAGTTTTGGAAAGGGGCGTGAAACCCATACACTTACTGACTGACTGACAAAGGCCCTCAGTAAGAATACCTTAAGATGGCAAGTGCTGAGGAGGGGTTGAGGATAGAATCCGTCTCTGAAAGACTCCACCTCTGAAATCCAGTCACCAAATAACTTACTTGAACGTCCAGGGAATCAACAATTGAAACGAACCTTTCATTGCAAATGTTTGGACGAAGGTTTTATAGTCCAACTCAAGGAACTTTGTGTGGCCTTTAGATTTTTTATTGCATTGTTAAAGAGGCTCATTTAGATGATGATGATGATTATGATGATGATGATGATTATGATGATGATGAGAACTTGTTGCATAATCTGAACATTCCATGCTGACTCGTCCAGCGGGTTGTTAACTATCATGACTGATGAATTATAATCATGAATCATTCAGGACTGTTAGCACCCACACTCCTTCCTTTACATGCAAAGTTTTAACATCAAATTTATGTACATTGCATTTTAAGTAGTACTAAGAAACTGTGAAACAATAATTTTAAGGAGACACATTTTAGTTCGGCTGTTTTGTTTTTTGTTTCTATGTTTGTTTATTTGTTTGTTGTTTGGGGGGGGGGGGGTTTGGGGGGTGGAGGGGGTTGTTTGTTTGAGTTATTTGGGGGTCTTTTTTTTAGGGGGGAGGGGGAGAGGTTAGTAATATTATTATTATTATCATAGCATGATCTTTTCCTGAAAATGAGGTCTTTTCGCATCATGTAATCTCCAGAAAATCAAAAGCGTGTGCAAATTACTGATTTTGACTGTTCAGATATTGAGGTCAGATCCTTTGTATTAAATTTGTGTTCATGATGAGGTGCTGGAATGCCTTTTTGAATTTTCTGATTCATCAACACTAATAGCAAAGATGTCCTTTCCTATTTTATTGATCATCAGTGTAACTCATTCCAAAATTACACACCATGTTAATATTCATACTGTATTTGATATAAATGCTTATTTGGACTACACTTATTATTCAGTTTTATCTTACTTCTGTACCGTTTGTTTTGCCTGATAATAATACAGTTTTGTGTGATATACTTCCGCTTTTGTTTCCTTCTAATTGCCGTCTTTTTAACTTATATAAATGAAATAATTCTTCTTTTATCCACCGCTTATACCCTTTTGGGTGTCGCAGGAAACTTATATAATTTATCAACTTATTTATTGTTTTGGATTCACAAAATGATTCCGATGTTGTTGAAAATACTACAGAAAAATATCTGAGAGCTGTCCATTAGTTTTAGACATTTGAATTCTCTTCGTAGAGTAAAAAAGAAATGTTTAGCATTGAGAAATAAAAGCTAGTTTACCTGTTTCTGTGGTGTAGCGTTCAGGCACTTCGATGTCACACTCAGAAGTCATGACATTGATTCAAATGGGGAGAGAAGTTTTATTGAGTGTCTCTATCTGTCTGCTGAGATGTTGTATCTCTTTTTGTATGGGTTGGCTCTGGCAGACAGAGTGAAAGCAGCCTGCCTCCCAAATATGTAGTTTGTATTGATGGGGGTGTATACCATCTTCCACTATAACAACGTAGAAGCTTGTCTAAAAGGATGAAATTGTAAAAGTAATCTTTAAATATGTCAGAATTAAAGTTCTACTTTTGGAGGGGGAATATTTTTATTTTTTTTATTTCAATGACTTATATTTCAATTTGACTGAGTAAAACTGGTAATTTCAAGCAATATAATGTTTGGCAAGTAATGTCCCCATTTTGATTAGTGACAAAACCTTCTGTGTTTAATAACGACGTAACATTCCTGTTTGGTGAGTGACATTATGTCCACGCTTGGGTAAGTGACTTTACATTCCACGCTTGGTGCCTGACTGAACATTCCCTGTTTCAATCTTTTGTGGGTGACATTATGTCCCTGTTTCAATCTTTTGTGGGTGACATTATGTCCCTGTTTCAATCTGTTGTGGGTGACTTTATGTCCCTGTTTCAATCTTTTGTGGGTGACATTATGTCCCTGTTTTGAGTAGTGAAACTATTTATGTGTTTAGAAAGTGGTGACATTATGTCCCTGTCTGAGTAGTGACATTATTTATGTGTTTAGAAATGTCCCTGTTTCAATCTTTTGTGGGTTACATTATGTCCCAGTTTGAGTAGTGACAGTATTTATGTGTTCAGAAAGTGACATTATGTCCTTTAGCGACAAGACGTTTCCTCAACAAATGCCTCTGTATGGGATATGTTCTATGGATCAGAATATTGTATTCAAGTGCCTATGTTACTTGCCGTTGTGTTTGCAGGCTGGAGAATACTTCTGCTCAATAATATGTTTTTAAAAAAGCTGTAGAAAAAAAACGTTTGACATGTTTTAAAACAGATTTCTGTTCCTCAGCAGCTTACTCTGTTGTTGTGAAGCCTTGCCTCACACTAGTGTCTATGGTGTTATCTTTAGGGCTCATCGGAGTTGCTTGCAAAAGAAATGATGGATAACTGCTTAAAGAACATTATGTTATATGTGAGGCAGCGTGGTGGAATCAGGCTCTCGTCAAATTAATCAAATTGAAGAAACCTGCATTTTTCCGCAGGTTTGTGAATTTTTATCAAATGTTTGTTTTTTGGCTCAACACCTTTTATGCCCATTAAAGAACTCATTTCTTTGAGGACTTTCCTGAAAAACGTTGATAAAAGGCACAAAAAAAGGAGATTTCCAGTTACCACGGACTTTTAAGCTAAGGAAATAACCAATCTTTTGCGGCCATTTTCTCACTAATTTTTCCTCTGAAAACAGGTGACCCCCACCTCCTTCATTCTCAAATATCTCCACTTGTATTCAAGATAAATAGACATTTTTTTCATCCAAATAAAGACAAGCAAACAAGCTTTAAGATGATACCAATAACTCTACATGCCCAAAAATTGACGAGAGCCTGATTCCACCACGCTGCCTCACATATTATAATACAGTAGGGTTTGCTTAAATTGAAATATGAGGGACTGCTTGATTTTCTTCTGTTTAGTCGGGGGGGGGGGGGGTAAAAGTAAAAGTAAGTAAATCATTGGGGGGGGGGGGGGCAGGTTTGTTATAGACAGAATGCTCAAGTAGCAAAGAAAAATATGGAGACCTTTTTTTTCTGTTTGCCACTGTTTTGAGATTAGCCATGTTCAGTTTAAGTGGACTCCACTTTATCTCTGTCTGTCCACGAGAACTCTGTTTCCCACTCAGCTAAGGTTTGTCCTGACAAGCAGGGAGTCTAAACCGCCGCC